TTTAAGATCATTTTAGTGAAAGTTTCATCCTTCAAGGCGTACCATTCACTGCTCAAATACTAAACAACCTGCACCCATGGCCGAGATACAGGGCTCCCATATTATAAGGTAAGGTTATAAAACCACAATTTAAGATCATTTTAGTGAAAGTTTCATGTTCCTATCTCATAGAATTTAAGAACAATGATGAATAAATAATTTTCGAGCAAAATTTAAATGGCCGGCTGAATATATTACCGCAGGAGCCGCGGCCGCGGAATTTAAATGACCACGTCAAAGGGTTAAGCCATACCCCCATGATCACATGGCCTTAAATAAAAACAAAACAAACTCCACTATTTTTGTTCACAAGTGAACTATACCGATCAATTAAAATAAAACAAAATCATTTATGCACTTACATGCAATAATCATAATACCTCAGAGTAAACAAGTTTCATGTTAATTGTATTACTACAGATGAACTTCATTTGGGGTGTTGACGAGAGGCTCTAATAACGTCAAAAAGTTGGGTATGAAGCATTTACATTACAGTTCCATTAATCTGTTAATACTGATTTAAACCGAATTTGCGTTGATGTACAGTCCAACCAAAGCTAAAGTATTATCATTTAGAGAAGACGGGACACTGTGAACCTCTACTGAAACTAGACGAGCCAACAATGTTTCCTTTTGTCTAAAAACTGCTTATATGCTGCCCTCAAATTTTAAAAGTGTAATTTTGGGAAAGTGGGGCTTGCATTCTGGCAAATATGGTAGTAGTGATAACAACTTATGCATGTATGATAAACTGATTCCTTTCACAAAATCAAAAATAAAAATATCAAACAAGCAACCATCTCAGATATGAAGACAGAGTAAAGAGGTCAAAAAAGGCAAGTTTTACTAAGCAGAAAGCAAGGTCACGCCATAGCTCAAGCAGTTAGTCGCTGGCTTCCCACTGCAGTGGCCTGGGTTCGATCCTGTGTCTGGCCAAGTGGGATTTGTGGTGGACAAAGTGGCACTGGAGCAGCTTTTCTCCAAGTACTTTGGTTTCCCCTGCCAATCTTCATTCCACCAAATTCTCCATCATCACACTCACCTGGGGCAGGCTACAATACACCAATCAGTGGCCGCCATGCCAGGTGGAACCAGCTGGACTCCAACCCCCACTAAGCGAATTAAAAAAAAAACATTTAAGCAGAAAGCAATGACACAGATACAAAAGCCACACTTATAGGAGAACAGAGAAGAATGGGGGTTTCATCACACGATCACATGCTGCAATGGAAATGTCAGTGCACCATACTGCCCACAAGTTTGGAGGTGTGTCACTATGAAGATTACTGTCCTATGGGATGTTGTTGTGTAGCCTGACAGAAGATTACCAATATTTAGAAGCAACTTGCTGCCTCCACCTTCAGTCCATCTTCTACCATGAAGATGGAGACAGTATATTCCTCTACATTCTATCAAACTGCATGGCCTCACATCCTAGAACATATTAATCTTGACATTTAACACTGTAAGCACCTCAAATTTCACCTCATACCTGGCTGTAATCGAAGTTCAACCTCAGCTCCAGCAGAGATGTTAAACTTATCATTAATCTTGAATGCCTTGTACGGATGCAGCAGCATTGCACGTACTAAGGAAACATGACGAATTCTCCTCCCCCCAGTGAATTTCACCTCAAATTCATAAACAACATTTGACGTTTCTGGATCTATCTGTAATCAGAAGTACAAAACGTTGCAGACAAGCATGCAACATCAATATCTAGAGTTCACTGTCATTACACAATGTCTGAGAAATCAACAGAAAGATAAGGACGTCATTTCTTAGTTACTGTGGTACTGGTTAACCAATATAGGATGGTGAACCACTCTGTACCAAGGCCTACAAGCAGCAGCTTCATACCCTGGCCAGTTAACCCCCCGGAGAAAGAGCCCTCAGTACCCATCACATAGGAGGGTGAGTGGGCCCCAGAGATAAGTCTGCACATTGTATCCCTGGCTGGAATATTTCCCATAATGAATGACTAAAAACAATTAGTGAAAACTGAATCACCTTCAAACACAATAAAAATAATTGGTAGTGTTTAATTTAAAACCACAACAGAAAGAAACTGATTGCAAAATATCTGATACCAAAATAGATAAGCAGTACAATTATAACATTGTGACAAAGTGTCCATGTTATAAATTGTAATAATGAAAACCCTAGTCCAATGTACATATATTGTTCTTGAAATTACTTAAAATTCTTGTTTTGAGCTGGAAGTCATTCTCACATGTCTAGTTCACAATAGTAATAATAAAACCTGTCACTGGGCATGGTACTGAGCCAGTCATTCACCTCCTACCCACATTACTTATATCCCTAAGATAGATCTTGATATTCTCCTCCAATATGCTCTAGGTCAGACATGTCAAACTCAACTTGTGCAGAGGGCCGCCTCAGCCCTATAAATAATAGTACAGGGCCGCACTTCAAAACAGAAATATACATTAGATTTTCATACAAGGAAATTTAATTCTATTTATTATTTAGGAATAATTTCAATATAATTACCTAAAGTCACATATCTTACAGTTTTAATAAGCAAGAGAATGCCATTTTTGACAAGTATCAAACAGCTTTTCAATATGTAAAAAGAGAGATTACACAAGAAATTATATTAGAAATAGCAAAACATTGAATTGCCTGCAGCCTGCTAATTTATGTCTGTGTGAGACTCCTGTCTTCTTGTCTGTTGGAAAATTGTCTTTACAAAAAACATTTCTATTAAAATTTTAATATTGATTTTAATATCAATTACCTCTAAAATTTGAGGGGCCACACTTTGTGGCTATGGGGGCCGCATGTTTGACACGGCCGCTCTAAGTCCACGAAGTAGCTACTTTGCAGGAAACACCTCATCAAAATTCTGCACATACTTCTTGTGCCCCACCACCCATACCATCAAAGTGAAGAGTCTGATAAACATAACAGAATACCCTGTAACCTATAAAGCACAACGCTCCTTGTTACACGGCACCCTAAATCCATGTACTTCCTTACTTTTAGAACCAAATCATACACAGCTACTTACAATATATTTAACAGTGCCATCTGAAGTTGAGTCTATCTTCTTCCCTTTGCAACACACATTAATCTCAACACCATGACGATTCTTTGCTTTATGCTTTCTGCAATAAACGAGAAAATATGAGGCATATTCAAGTGAAACATGTTCTGGAATGAGTTGCATTCAAACAAATTAATATCATCAGTACTGCAGAAATCCTCACTCAGTCCACATACACATACCTAACTGTACACTCCTTACAAGTACATCAATAGAAATACAAAAGAAAATAATTCCCCACATTTAGTTTGCAAAAACCACAAGATGGCCAAATACGAGCTACTAGATGGATGGATTTGGATTATGTGGAAATAATTTCAATCATTTTTTCTACAACAGAGAAATAACTATGAAGAATCGAAATGATGTACACACAAAATTTATAGTTTCACTTGCTACTGTCCTTCCCGTGGCATGCAATAGCATAGTTGGTTAACGCACTATGCTTCAAGTTGGAAGGTTGTTGGTTCAATTTCTGATGTCACTGGATTTTTCAACTAATCTAATCCTTCCAGCCGCACTATGGCCCTGGAGTCAATGCAGCCTGTAACATAAATGAGTAGCAGGAATCATCCTGGGCAGCCAGCACATAAGGCTGACAACCACATTGCTATCTGTCTACAGACAGACTGTCTAGAAAATGTGGGAGCACTCACATCTCACAACCCTATGGGCCTCAACGCCCTGTTATGGGGATAACGTTACCTATACTGTCACTCCCACTCCCAACTAAGTGAACCCTGTGTAATGAATCATGATATCTGCAGCAGGTACTACCATGTAAGAAGGGTAGTTATTACTAGGGGCATGGGACTAAGTCCCTTGTACTGTGGCCACTTCTGGCCTATTGTACCAAAGAAGGGTTGTTAGTAGAGACAAATGAGGACTTTGCATATCTATATAAATAAAAATGTAAATGTTCGTTTGTCCCTGATCGAAAATCTCCGAAAGTTCTTCACCGATTGCTTTGAAATTTTGACACAACATTGCACTCAAACACGCACATTTTTTTATGTACCTATTATATAGATGTCACACCTGTGACAGGTAAAAACATGTCACGTTCCAAATCCAGCAGTCATTTCCATAGTAACGCTGGAACAGTTGCATAGGATAAGAAGTTCCGTTGCGTAACAATGGATGAAACCGGAAAGTATACTTCCATGGAAATGCAATAACAGTGGGCCGTTGCATAGGAATTGCCAAAACAACAAACGTGTTTCCCCGGAGATGAGAGGATAAGAGGTTCCGTTGCGTAACAACGGATGAAACCAAACACTTCTACAAGGTGTTCTGTCGTCCATTGAATACCAACAGACTGTTGCCTAGAAATAACCGCGGCAATGATCACAGAACACGTGAAATCGAACCCTGGGCGAAAGTGCCCTCTATTGCGTCCGAAACCAGGTTATAACAGTCCAGCTCCGAAGAGTTTTTGGGTGATACTGGACGTGATAATAACTGTACTCGCTGGTGTAAAAGTGAGCATTCAATAACTTATTCGCTGAATCCAAGACGTACATGGAAGTTATTTGTCGCACTGAATAGGAGACACATGACCACAACAACGTTAAATAGGTAACACGCAACATATTCTTATCATCAAAGTACACATAAATAATGCAACAAATTAAAAAACATCAAGAATATGTCATTCACTAAAAATGTATTTTAAGACTTTATGATGTTAAAATCATGTGTAACATATGTCATGCCTGTGACAGGTTGGTTGGTTGTTAAAATATTAATTGTACTCAATATTAATATACTGTAACGTGTTATACGTCATTCATTTCGTGAGTATAGTTTATTTTTCATTGTTTTTCAATTCGTTTTCTTAACTGTTCTCCTTATTTTTCAGTGCAATTGGCGGTGGGTGTGAGCTGTGTCAATTGATCTGCGTTTGAATTGAAATATTTTGTTAGTATTTTTTTGTTGCTGTTTCTTTGTTTTCCAGTTCGTGTTCTTTCCTTTTTTAATGTTTTGCAATTTTGTATAATTTTGTTATAATTTTCCTTCTTTTTCTTCAGTGCAATCGATCTGCTTTAGTTCATCCAAATAATGCCTCGCAGAAGATCAAACTTAGGTCGTCGTACTCGCGGAGCGGAAGCAATTCACTCGATCTGCCACAGCAACACGTGGCCAGGTACAGCTAGTTGAGAATAAAATTACAATAATATACGCTATAAAAAAAGTAAAGGTATCCCTGTAACAGGCCGTGGAGGGCCATAAGGTTGTGAGACGTTGAGGTTCCCACATTTTCTAGACAACTGGCTCACAGATGGTGGTAAGGTTGTCAGCCCTATGCACTGGCTGCCCTTTAACCCCAAGAATATTCCTCGTACTGAGTTGACCTCAGGGCTAGAGTGCAGCTGGAAGGATTAGGTCAGCTTAAAAAATCAAATGACCTCATTGGGAATTGAACCCGCGCCCTTCTGGCTTGTAGCATGGTGCCTCAACCAACTACGCTACCGCATTCCTGCAGAAGATATGTAAATACTTATTATTATTATTATTCAGAGGGGGTGGGTTACCCCATGCACTGCGACCATTTATTAATCTACTGTGCATCCCCCTTTTTAATTATTCTAACTAGTCGCCATGTCCTTCCACTACTAGTGCTCGCTATCAGCCCCTTCTGCCAGCGAGGTTGGCCCTCTCCAGTAGTTGTCCCTGATACTTCCCCATCTACTGGAGGAATTGGAAACTACTTGGGCGGGAAACTGCCTAATTTTGCTCAGAGGTCTGCTAGAGACATGAGGATCTTTTACAGGCCTTAAATCTACGACACAGGACACAAGTCCCTCCCAGAGGACTTGTTCCCTGAATTTTTCCGCCCTTAAAAATTCCATGACCTCCGCCGGGTTTGAACCCATGTACCTTGAGTCATGAGGTGGGAACGTTACCCCTAGACTACAGAGGCCGCTTTATGTAAATACGTGCTTAAGGCTTTAAGTTAAGTGCAATGGGTCAGAGTAAGAAGACAAAATACTGAAAGGTGAGAATAAGACACACAAACACACATATCCAGTTGTATAACGCACACAGTCACAGGAGCAAGACACAACAAAGAGCACAATACACATATGCATGTAGGAAGAGTGCTCCCACAGAGGAGGATTGACGTGATCTGCATATTGAGATACGACGTAAGGATGACGAATCCTGAAAAGTTTTAATATTTAAAATCTATTATTATACATGATGAATATATATTTTAGTCATTTTAATATGAAGACATCAGGGCATGCAATGCAGTAGTTAGACGTGCATAGAGAAAACGCACCTGAAGATGGCACATTAGTGCTGAAACATGTAGTGCAAAAGAGAAGAGTAAGGTGAAAAAGTGTGTGCATTCTAAGACAGTTAGCATAAATCATAGACGAGAATAAGTACACTGCGATGTTTGGAATATAACATATTAAATAAACAAATAACCTTGTTATTGAAAAAAGAATGCAAGCCATCAAACAGCTACCACCAAACACCCATGCACCTTCCTACTCATTTTGTTTACTTCACATACATTTGACACAGAGGGCAGCCCTTACCAGTCCTATACACAAACAATCTTGGGCAATGAACTATAGAACAAACAGACCTCTTGTTCTTGAATTCAGCAAGCTTGAAATTATATTTGTGACGTAACTCCTCCAAGTGACCCCTAAATGCATCATTATCCTCAGCTTCAAATCCACACAAAAAACAGTAGGTGACACCCACTGCTCCACGACTTTTGTTCCTCCTTTGCTGTCTTCCATGAGCCATTTTCCTTCCTGCCTGAAAATTAAATTATTCAGTAACTATTTCTTCCTGCACTCTACTTTCAATTACATTCATTACATTCCTAAATTTACTCATTTTTCTCTATAATTCACACAATAATGACAGCATGTATGAGAAAACTCTACAGAAAATCTACCAATACACAATAATTCACTAGTGTCTGTCACCTGTTCACAGCCCCAAGAAGGAACTATACAATACACTATAGTCATGCCAAAACTCAGGTGATTACATGCTGGCCTCACATTGCAGAAGCCCAGGTTCAATCCCTGGTGGAGGAAGTGCATAAACATGATAGTCCTTACATTTGAACCTGAGTCACAGTAATAAAAGTAAAAAGTAAAGTAAAGGTATCCCTGTAACAGACCGTGAAGGCCCATAGGGTTGTGAGATGTTGAGGTTACCACATTTTTTCTAGACCATCAGCTCACAGATGGCAACAAGGTTGTCAGCCTCATGCGCCGGCAGCCCTTTGAGCCCAAGAACATTCCAAGAATATTCCTGGTACTCATTTCTGTTAGAGGCTGAGTCGACCCCAGGGTCATACTGCGGCTGGAAGGATTAGGAGAATTGAAAAAAAAAACCAATCACCTCATCAGGATTCAAACCCACAAACTTCCAGCTTGTAGCATAGTGCCTCAACCGACTATGCTACTGCGTGCCCCCCAGTCACACTAATACTAACTTTTTTTAAATTTAATCTAATCTATTCTAATCTAATCTAATCTAATCTAATCTAACGTGATCTAATCTACATACTTTATTAAAAAGTCTCTAAACCCTTTACACAAGGAAGTGTGAAATGCCCAACAAACAGAGAATCAGAGAAAGATTCACAACTGTTTGTGCAACATTGTTGGGAAACTCTTGCATGCCCCCCCNCCAATTTTGGCTTTGAAAATGATAACTGTGATATTAGGCAGGATGGTGAGGAATCAGGATTAAATTCTCAGCTGGGGCAACAAATCTTTCACTTTTCCACTTCCATCCAGACTATCTCTGGGGCTCACCCAGCCCCCTACCAAATGAGAACTGGGGGGAGTGGCTTTTGAACTGAGGGTTAAGCTGCCTGGGCAAACAGCTCACTACTAACCTCCATCTAGTGCTGAGGTTAAGAATGCTTGGAGGTATACCTCCACACATTGGCATTATGCTTAATTAATGAAGCAGAGGGATAAATTTACTTTACTTTTTACCAAAAATCAAAATCAGTGGCCTAATGAAATGCTCCATTGAATTGCACGCTCCACCAAACAACTGATATTCTGGGTGGTCTTAAATACATGCATATTTCTCTACAAATGCATTCACACTTAGATTCATTTTTCCCCCCATGTGTTTTGGGTTAATTTTCCCATGCTAAAACTGTATCTAGTCCTACAAAAATTGTGCTCCATGTATACATTTTTCTTAGCTGTTCATGCTATGGTTGACAAAAGTTACCATGGATATTCGCTTCAGACTTCATGTTAATTTTCAGGCAATTTTGTATGCGCATGAAGAATGTTATGCGAAGGTTATGAAGAGTTCTATCTTCTAGGACATAACGCTGTGTAGTCCACTGCCAACTGCTTTCATGCTTTTTTTTTTTATTGCTAGTGGGGTGGGACTAAGTCCCTTGTGCTACGGCCACTTCTGGCCTATTGTACCAGCCCCAGATGATAGGTGAGGGTGATTGTGGAGCAATTGGTGGAATGAAGATTGGCAGGGGAAACCAAAGTACTCAGAGAAAACCTGCCCCAGAGCCACTTTGTCCACCACAAATCCCACTTGACCAGACCCGGGATCAAACCCGGGCGGCCGCGATGGGAAGCCAGCGACTAACTGCTTGAGCTATGGTGCAGCCCTTCATGCTTTCTTGCTTGGCATATTCTTCAACCCTAAAGTTGAAGGCAACACGTTCCTCCAAAATTTCGGTTTTACTTACAACAGACTACAAAGGGTTATATCCCACTAGTCAGAACTCTTTCTTTAGTTCTCATGTCTGACTAAATTAAATATTTTATTAAAAATAAACTAATAATGATATGGGCAAATGCATGATAAATCCAATTCATGACAGTATGAAATGTACAGACCCAAATTTTCAGCAGGAATTACAGATATTTGTGAAAGATGCAAATTTTGGAAGCATCACATTCAATGTTTGATGGTACTCACGGTGGGCAAAATTTCAATGCAGAAATTCTCCTCCGAGTTTCTCTGGTCTTACCTGCCAATTTTCATTTCACCACTGTTCAATTCTAATCTACCAGTATCCCCTTAGACAAGAAATAGCCTTGACTAGACACATTATCATATCCTAGTTCTTTAAAGTTGTGGGCTTTATCTCTTATCCAGCACTTTCGTGATTACAAAATACGTAGGTATTTTTTCTAAAAATCACAACATATCCTACGGAAACCACGCAGAGAAGACTTAAGACAATCTCCTCGTCCCACCTAATTTTCCACAACTGTTATGTTGGCAGCTCTCTACTGTTAAAATATGCTAGAGCTGGTAACGTCGTAGTAAACAATTTTCAATAAGAGACTGTGTGTATGTACGTATTTATTTAATCTCTATAGATCACTGTTACATGATACAGGCCAAGTCAATTACTGTACCTTGACCGATTACAATAAGAGAATAAAGTTACAATTCTTAAAATGCTACATGCGCTGTTCCTAATTTCTCTATTGTTTGTGTTACTATTGTTATGTGTGTGAATATATACAAAACATTTTATGTGTATCAAAAAGTTAGTCTTAATAAAGTAGGGTTAGATTGAACACTGGTTCCTTCTTTCGGTTCACGTACTCGTAGAAGTAACAAACAAACAACAACCACATAAGATTTACTGACGATTGATTTTTAATTTTCGCTTCTGTGAGTTAAAAGACTGGGAGAATGCGTATTCTATACCTCTACATAAATACTATGGATTACTGTTTTCAAATTTACTTAACGTTGCAATATGGCACGCATTCTGAGACTAATTTTGTGCGTAGCTTTCTTCTGTACCCGTATATTACAGAAACTAACTTCAGGGACAGGTTAAGGAATATTGTTGGGGTCAACATCAGAAATTATATTACAGATCGCAAACAGTTACTAAGCCCTCTCCATATTGTAAAGCTCGCTATAGATATTATGATTTATATTTCGTATTTCATACAGCATCCAACAGATCCAACTTACCTTTCTTCCCGAGGTTAAACGCTACCAACCTATTTTAAAAAGTTCGTTTTCGGGAATTCCCCGTTCACCAACGAGGCCGATCGAGGTTACCTACGTTACCAACTGACGACTGAGCTATATCTGACGTTCAAGACCCAAGACCCAAGACAAAGCTTAACGTATTGTAGGCGATACACGACGAATGCCGTTCCAAATTATCATAATGAAATGAAAGTCTGTCGTCTACGTCCAATAGCAAAAATTGACAAATCGACGTATCCATCTCTAGTCGTCTATAGGTGTTGCTCCGCCTCATGACTGATAAACCTGATAAACATTGCCTTCTTATCGGCATGCCTCACCCACGCTACAGATTGTACTAGTGTTTCAGGACAATGTCTGGTAATTGCATACTATAACCGTTATCTATGAGCAATAAGATAAGCAGTGAGTATACTTTTGTGTACCTGCATTTTCATTGTTCTACAAGGTAATCACAATTCCGGATTAACAGAAAGAACCATATTCAGATTTCCTTCACAGGCTAGCAAAACAGCAACATAGCTATGTTTCCATGATTTATTTCACCGTCTTTTAGTGCATACACTTATCTACCTCACTCCTTTCTCCCGCACTACATGTTTCGGCACAAAAGTGCCATCTTCAGGTGCTTATTCGATTAACGTCAAACTAGTTCACTGCATGCATTGTCTTCATATTAAAATAATTAAAATATATATTTATCATATATACTGACAAATATAAAATATTAAAATTGTTCAGGATTTTTCCTACGTCGTATCTCACTTCTCGAGTCACCTCTAATCTCTTCTGTCGGAGCACTCTTTCTATTACCGTATGTGGATTGTGCTTTATGTTGTGTCTTGCTCCTGTGACTGCGTGTATTGTGCCGAAACATGTAGTGCGGGAGAAAGGACTGAGGTAGATAAGTGTATGCACTAAAAGACGGTGAAATAAATCATGGACTTAAATCAGTGCAACAGGACGCTAAAATATAACATTAGAGCTATGTTTGTTTGCTATTATGATGGCACTGATGAGACCAAGGATCATTATCCGAAGTGCCTTTATTTTTTTATTGATTTTTATATAAACTTTAGTTCATGCCGTTTAATTGTACTGACCGTCCTACATTATCCATAATACGAGAACAATATTTTTTAAAGTATTCTCGTGATTAGTTTAATATCCATAAATTTACTTCTTTTTTAAACAAATAAGGGACTGAACCAGCTGCTCAGCTTGTACTGCTCCAGTTCCTTGCCAGCACACAAGTGTCGCATAAGTGTCGTGTGTAGTTTAGCGGAAGAATGTCACCCTGAAGATGAAGGCAGCAAATGCCTCAAATGCACTGGAACTTTCTACCAGATGGCAGTAATCTTCAAGGTTATGATCATTACGATAATTTGAGATTACATAACTTGGGAGAAATATATGCATACAGATCGCTGGTTGTGGGAAATCTCTATGGAAAACAAAGGAGATGGCAGGCAATATTAAAATGGATGCCCAAGAAATGGGTCATGAAATGAATCAGATTACTTCATTATCAAGGTGATGTCGAATCTTTACCATTAATTAGTCAGTTGTTGAATGAGTTAAAGTGTTACCCAACCTTGACCAAAATTAATTTTGTTATGTAGTAATATTCATGCAACACCGTGATGAGATGTTATCTCCAATGGAGGCATTGCATAGCCACATTTTCAGTTTTTTCTCATGGTACCCTCCAAGGACACCACCTATCTCAGGCTCTAAGGTATTTCAGTATCATCATCATCATCATCTTTATTAACATCCGTAACTGTTACAAAGTAACACATGGACAAGTCATAACATGTAGTACAATCATTCGGGAATCCTTTGCCCACGGCCTAAAGGGTTCCTATGTCAACAGAGACATACTCTAATTAAAACTACAATACAGAATACAAGTACACAAATTTTAGATTTATTTTAAATATAAATAAGTTAATTTCAAGTTTATTTGCCTTTATGCTTAATCGACCAACTTTAAAAATACTACTTTAAAATCAAGTTACTAAAGTAACCATCACAACCATACTCATCAAGGATAAAAACACATCATCAAATCATCATTAAGGATTTTGAGCAGAGTTTCTCTATTCATCCTGCAGTCCCTCAAAGAGAAACTCCTTCATTGTATAAAATGGGTTATCAAGTAAAAATAATTTTAATTTATATTTAAAATCTTTGAATCCATTTAATTTTCTTATTTTCAAAGGCAATCTATTGTAAGCTTTAATACCCATATTTATGACACTTTTTTTAGAGGTAGATGTGCTACAGCTTCGTACATGGAAGTCCTCTTTTCTTCTAGTATTATATTCATATAAATCTGAATTTCTAGTAGTATACAGATTAAATTTCTGAAAGTAGCACAATACCTCAAAGATGTACAGAGAGGTAACAGTTAGGATCTTTAGATCTTTAAAGATTGGTCTGCATGTAGTTCTACTATTTACGCCTTTTATTAATCGAAGTATCCTTTTTTGTATTTTCAGTATTTTACTGCTTTCACACTCTCCCCCCCAAAAAATCAAACCATAACTTATTAAGGACTGAAATTTAGCAAAATAAACATTCCTGAGCGTAGAGAAACTCACTACATCTTTCAAGGATTTTATAATATAACACACCTTATTTAATTTTAGACATAAAGATTGAATATGTGAGCTCCATTTTAAGTTATTTGATATATTAACACCTAAAAATTTAAACTGTGAGGTATAACTAATTTTCATATTTTTGAAGGTGATTACTGGCTCAGACATATAGTATGATTTGTTTAATTGGAACAGCATTGCTTTGGTCTTTTCCGTATTTATAATCAAATTGTTTTTTGAAAACCACGATTCTAACTGGATCATCACCTCTCCTATCTTATCTTGGAGAATATTTATATTTTTATCTGTTACCAATATGTTAGTATCATCTGCAAAAAGGACAACTTCACCGTCAAATATATGATAGGGTAAATCATTTATATAAAGTAAAAACAACAGTGGGCCCAGGATGGAACCCTGGGGTATACCAAATTTTACATTCTTAAATGAGGAATTATACCTCTTCTTACGATATTTATTGTCATTTGAAGTTATTTCGACATACTGAGAACGTAGAGAAAGGTAGGATTTTAACCAAATTATGGCATTCCCTCTTATTCCATAATGCTCCAATTTCTCAAGAAGTATATCATGATCTATAACGTCATAAGCTTTTGAGAGATCAAAGAATATACCTACCACCCCTAACCGCCTATCCAATGCTTCCTGGACCTTTCCAATGAAGGACAGACACGCCGATGTAGTTGATTTATTTTTCTGAAACCCATGTTGATTTTCTGTTAAAATTTTGTATTTTGTAGTAAAAGATACCAGTCTAGAATACATTATTTTTTCCAATATTTTTGAAAATACAGATAAAAGCGCTATCGGTCTATAATTACTAGCTTCTTGTCTGTTCCCTTTTTTATAAACAGGCCTAACTTTTGCAATTTTTAATAAATCTGGAAAAATCCCCTGGTTTAAAGACTCATTAAAAATGAATGTAAGTGGTTTTTTTATACATTGAATACATGCTTTTAATAAAAATTCAGGGACTTCATCAACTCCAGCAGAGGCTTTACCTTTTAATTTAGTTACTACTAACACAATTTCATCTTCAGAAATGGGGAAGAGATACATGGAGTTTGGATTTCGGTCGACTAATAATTGTGGTAATCTATTATTATTTCTATTTCTAGTTTCCTCCACCAGTTCTTCAACTTTATCAATAAAATAAGAGTTTAATGTATTCGCCACCTTCTGCGGGTGTATTATTTTCTTTGAATTGTTTTGTAACCATATATCATGATTTGCCCTACCTGCATTTCCCATTTGTTTATTTATTATCTGCCACATCATCTTAGTTGGATTTGTAGCATCTCGTATTTGATTGTCATTATACCTTTTCTTAGCTTCAGAGATAACTCGTTTATAGATTCTGTGATATCTATTTATATAGTTTAATGAATCCCTTGATAGTGGTAATCTACACTTTAAACTATTTAAAAGCCTCATTTTCTGACATGAGACTCTTATTCCTCTAGATATCCATAAATTATCTTTGCGGTCACTCTTTGTTTCTAATTTCAATGGGAATGCTCTCGTAAAATAGTATAAAAACTTATTTATAAATA